TAATCAAATTTTAATTTTTATTTCGGCAAAAAACTTTTTATTAATTTTTGTTAATCACTGGTGATGATCACTACTGGCAATAAGTAGTAATTTTCCAATACAATACTCTATATTACACCACAATAGCTGGTGAGTAATACAGAATAAGAAAAATTTTAAATCAGAAATGTCGATTATATTCCAACACAAATAAATAACATTAACCAATCCACATACAATACAATACTCTATATTACAACAGTATGTAAGTAATATGGAATAAGAAAATTTTTAAATCAGAAATGTCGATTATATTCCAACACAAATAACATAACATTAACCAATCCACATACAATACAATACTCTATATTACGACAGTACGTATGTAATACGGAATAAGAAAATTTAAATCAGAAATGTCGATTATATTCCAACACAAATAACTAACATTAACCACATACAATACAATACTCTATATTACGACAGTTTGTAAGTAATACGGAATAAGAAAATTTTTAAATCAGAAATGTCGATTATATTCCAAATAACATAACATTAAAAATTAAAAAACTCTTTCCCGTACACCTGTAAATCCCTAAGTAAACAAAAAACTGCACACACCAGGAAAGAGAAAGATATCTAATAAGTCCAATAATAAATAAAAAGAAGGGCCAGTCATACTCCATGACCCTACCGAACGTTAAATAACATAGGAAAAAGGAAAAGGTCAATAGCACTCGGCACACCTGCTATATTCAATGCCTTGTTGCTGACTCAGTCGGCAACACAGTACAACAGGAGTAACATAGATGGGCTAGCTACAAGCCACATGGAAACTGATTTGCCAGATGAGCAGTATGACAATGAACAACATGTTACAAAGAAAATCTGTAAAAAAAAGTCCTCTTCAGACCCCACTACTAATAAAGGCATAGAAGCTTCGATTACTTTTCAAACTACAAGCGAAAAAAGTGGCGAAATCAATTTACCCCTACAAAATGCAGAGATGATGTTATCGATAAACACAACACCAAAACAAACTGCTTTCGAACAGGACCCGAGTGATGCACCTGGTACACTACCAAAAGTAGAAGAAAACCATGTTCTAAACGAATCTGTACACCATTCGGTACACCAACCAGAACCGGGCCCAGATCACATGGTACAGGAAATGCCCTAGCACCAGGACCCCGTCCAGCAATCACATATGGTACCCAACCCCGTTGATGGGATGGAATTGGAAACAAACAACAGAGAAGCCTCACTAGATACAGTGTCAGAGGGAGAAGATTGTGCAGGAAATCAATGGAAACTATACAGTCACGCAGTAACCGGGCCAAGGAAACCTAACCAAAACCAACACCCAGACCTAACCAAACTAATCAAGGAATGGATAGAACACGTGAGAATAGCGCTGGCAAATGCGAAGCAAATAGTCTTTGACAAGGAAATATGGAATCGAGACAAAATCTTAGCAGCTTTTTTGGACCCAGAAAAATTTAAATTGTTAATACAACACAAATTACGATCCAAACCAACACAAATAAAAATCCCACAAGCAATCGGCCTGAAATTCAAGTACAGTGATCGAGCTTTCTTTCACACATTTACTAGGAGGCATGATACCTGGCCACAACACCAACAAGAATTTATGGATCTTATAGAGGAAGCAACGCGTAAATACAAGCAGATGTATGATGCCCATATGATTAACAGAGAGAATAAAGACCAGATCACTGACTTGCTTAAAAAGAAATTGGCCATAGATTTCTGGACAAATGGAGAGTTCACCAGGCTAGACGCTACTGAAATTGCTAGACATACCATGTATCTGCTTGGCTTTGCCAGAATAGAAACAAAAATGGACTTTAACACCATTAAAGAAATAGTCGAGAAAGCCAAAGTCGAAACCCTTATCGCACTGCCAGACCACCCAAAAAAGATTGAGGATCAGATTAAAAACTCTCTACCATTCATGCTACCTTGCCAGACCGCAGACGAGTAAGAGCAGCAGTAATAACTCTAAGACAAATTTTTACCTTTGACAGACTACCAGATACATACTTTGTAGCAGACAATAGAATACCACTTTCAGCACACCAAGGTTGGCTTAATGAAACAACTCAGAAAATGTTTCCAGTCACTGTTCGAGCAGATCTTAAAAAAGTATGGGGATACAAAGAGGAACTGAGGAAGTTCTATATCTTTAGAGATCTTCCAGAAACTTACTTCGACCTATCATCAAAAAAAATGCCACTTCCGCCTACACCACAGGAACTCACCCTGCGGCTTAGAGAGATCTTTTCATTCTATCTACTAGATGCAAAACACTTCAAAGAACACATCGAGAAGCTGAGAACAGTCTATGCATTTAAGACATTACCAAATGACTATATTATTAGCAAAAAACGTCTCCCAAAAGATCCAAAAGATCTGCACCTAGCTGTCACTTTCTCCTTCCCTATCGACAATAAGGAATCACTTGCAAACTTCCTACATGCAGTTCCAAGATATTATGCAATACCCAATCCTCTACCAAAAGAATATATTAACTTTAACTACATAGACAAACCGGAGCTTCCAACTGACCCTAGCTTGGTAGAAAAAGTAAACTTAATACTCCCCATTATGACTCCTCGTGAACTAACGATAGCTGCAAGAGCCTTGCGGGAACATTACTTCTTCCAATCACTCCCAGAGAACTGGATCCAAATCCCTAAGTAGAAGGTAGAGGAGACAGAGAATAAGCTGCCGAATACAATCAAAGAACTTAAACAACTAATAGAACAAAAAAATTTGCAAACCACATTAAACTTTCCAATATCAAACCAGGAGAAGATTCCATCAGCTATAGAATTCCTAAAACAAGATTTAGCGCTTGACTCAATCCCAGACTTTGCTTTTAAATTTACATCTTTTCCATCGCCAGGTTGGGAGCTTTTTGAAGAAGCTGAAATTGATGATGACATACCTATGCAAGAGAACGAACCAACACAACCAACCATTAACACACAGGGGTTAGAGTCAGAAGAAGAACCAACCAATGAGTGTTAATGATCAGACAATACTAAATATGGGCACACCTGAACAAAATATTATTGACAACAAAATAGATTTTCCAAATATTAGAGAGAAACTAAACATTCTAACACACAATATAAGGGATCTTAACAATAATACCAAACTACAAACATGGATAGAATTTTGTATACAAGAACGCATACATATTGCAGCCTTATCTGAAACCAAGCTAAAGAATAGTGACACAGTAGCACTAACAAATGAACATTATAGTATATTTACATCCCGCTTTATCCCTCAATCAGCATTAAGTAGAGAAGCAAGTCTTGGCACTGCAATAATGATACATAATTCGGTTCAACTATACATACACAATATCAATACTTTCCCTGGTACGGCTTTGCAAATAGACTTCCTCTTTCCAGGAAACAGAACTAGGATAATCGCAGTATACCTACCCTCTAACAATCCAGACTTGTCAAATCGCACACAAAACCAAATAAACTTATGGGTTGCAGAAGTGAAATGAAGAAACTGGCATAGTATAGTACTGGGAGACTTCAATACCAACCAAGCTGTTAGCAAGAAAAAACAATTGCAGATATTTTCAGATCTAAACATGAATGGCCTTAGTAGCTTACTTGATTTTCATAAAATCTCCAACCCTACATGGCAAGGCAGAGGATTAAAATCACAAATAGATGATATCTGGGTTTCGTCGAATATCTTGTTGGATATAGATACTCCAGATCTAATCATTGCCACTGGGATTTCAGATAGTGATCATGTGATTTTGTCAACTAGCTGATATACAAGATTCAATCCTACTATACTGAGAAGTAAAAAAAAGAAACGGAAAATATACTTATATGAAAAGACTTCACAACAAGACTAGGAAAACTTTTCAAACAAGATACAGCAAATATTAAACCAAGAATTGCCAAGCATGAAAATTACTCAACTGGATCAATTGGATAAGCACTGGCATATTTGGTCATCAGCAGTCAAATGAGCAGCCGATACACATATTCCAATTACTTACAAAAAACCTAGAACCTTCTACGCCATGTCAATGAAAGCATCCAGGTTACACATAGCATTAAAGTATATTAATAAAAGCCTCCACAAACTCACCAATATATTTTCTCCCTGGTCATTCTCTTATTTGCTTTCAGATATAAACAAGAACCTACATAAAGCATTGTTATCAGCACAAATGCCAAATTTTTCAATAACGCCACTAGCACTATCAATTATCATCGCACCCAACACCAAGTCTCATTATGCAAATACTGCCACAAACATTAAAGAACTTAAAACGACGATATGGACAAGTAGAAACTGGGAGAAAAATGCGCAACAAACAGAACGCATT